TCAAGGATAGAAATGTATAAGGTGCTCGATATGCCATGAATTGGGGATATCGATTCCTTCCATGTCACATAGCCGGTAAGACCCTAGTCGGGTAACCTCTTTGACCACGTAAGGCCCTTCCCAGGGGGAGGAGAGCTTGTGCATCCCTTCGATTTTCTGCTTTCTACGGAGAACGAGGTCACCGACTGCAAATGAACGACATTTGATATTGCGACTATAGTATCTTCACAGGCTTTCTAGGTATTTGACTGTGCGGATGCAAGTGATCAAGCGTTCTTCTTTGGCTCTGTCGACATCCTCTGTTCGAATAGCTGTGGCTTGCTCTTCATTATAATGCTCTACCCTAGGTGCTCAGAAGGCAATGTCCGTAGGAAGTATGGCCTCTGAGTCGTAGACCAAAAAATATGGAGATACATCGGTGTTACGACTAGCTTGAGTGCGCAGTCCCCAAACCACAGCTGGGAGCTCTTTGAGCCATCTGCCTGGATGCTTTTCCTCTTTCTGGTATAGTCTCTTTTTGAGGGCATCGAGGATCATGCCGTTCGCCTGTTCAACCTGGCCATTGGCTCTAAGATGGGCAATAGAGACGTATTTGATGGAGATGCATCGGTCTTCACAAAAGTCCTAAAAATGGTAACCAGTGAATGTAGTTCTGAGGTCGGTGATAATGCTGTTCGGGAGACCGAATCTATGGATGATATCTTCGAAGAGCTCGACTGCCTTCTTTGCAATAGCCAAAACAAGCGGCTTGTATTTGATCCACTTGGAGAACTTGTCAATGGCGACGTATACGTACCGAAAACCGCCTGGCGCAGGCTTGAAAGGCCTGATCATGTCGAGTCCCCAGCATGCAAAAGGCCAAGAAGCTAGGATGGTTTGCAATTCCTACGCCGGCACGTGTGTTTGCTTGGTGAAAAACTGACATCCTTCACAATATTAGACGAGGTCTTCTGCGTCGAAGATGGCCGTGGGCGTGCCAATTGTCGATAGAATATCATCGACAGTCCTCCGAGGGGTATCCCACGATGGTACATTGATCGGCAGAGGTGTGTGTAATCAAGAATAGAAGGCAATAGAGACACCCGAGTTAGACAGGTTCGGGCCGTCTACACGACGTAATACCCTACTCCTGTGGTCTGTTGGTTTGTATTGGCTATCGTATGATATTACGTGCGTTTTGAGGGGGTCCCCTACCTGCCTTATATAGCCGGGGGGTAGGGTTACAAGTTGGTCAGATCTAGGAGATAACCGGTAAGTAATAACAGATTACAGGAATCACGTGATCGAGCATATCCTAACATATCTCATAGCATCTTCAGGATATCGCCCTTGATGTCTTGCGGTACACGCACGAGCAATACCGTGCATCGTAAGTCTTCATCTTGTGGGCTGGACCACCCCTGGTGGCTCAACCCATGTAGTCTGTCGTGTGTATCCGAGGTCATACCCCCCACACCGGTTGTTACCACATTACCAGCACCCAGTGCCTTAACCACTCACATATAATCCTCCACCAAGCATCACATCACAGATATAATGCGTAGTAGAAGTAGTACCAAGTAAGTAAGCGAGCGTCTAACCTAACAGTGGGTGTGCAGGGGTATAGGTTGCGACATGGTAATGGCTCACAAGCAATTCTACCATGCAACCTATCACAGATCATTTGCATAAAAGTAAAGCACTCGCATCTACATTGTAGCATGTATAATAGGATTCTATGAGGTTGGGTGGGATGTGGCACCTAGTAGGTCATCTCCAAGCTCCTCAGTGTAGTCGGGATCGTGCTCCTCAGTCTGTGGTTCCTTCGGGTCTGTCAAACAAGACATATAGCCGCGATAAGCGACTCCTATAGATGATCACAAAGAAGCAACAATAATTCAAAAGATCCAAATGCACTCAAACACAAGCCTATGACATAGAGCTCATTTTTAGAAAATTTGGACACTGGTTTCATATTTTTCTGAGGTCGTATGAATTTTCTAAGTTTAAATCGTTTTCTGAAAAAGAAAAAGAATAGGAAATCCAGAGGCTGACATGTGGCGCATTCGGATTGGGCGAGATGGTTGCGGTCACTAACAGGTGGGTCACGGTCAATGGTTGACCGGGCTCGGGCTAGGCCTGGTGGGCCAGATTAGGCGGTCTGGGCCAGGCCAGGCCAGTACACGTGTCGTGTAGGCGAGGCGGCCACGTGGCGCAAGCGGGCCACTACTGGGCTCAGGTCCATGGGGCTGGTCCACGGTGGATAGCACGGTGTGGGTCCATGGACCACAGGCACGGTCCGCGGTGGACCACGTCCACTCCCTCTTTCTCTCTTCGGTCTAAGGTGCACCGGGTCTACGGCATCGTGAGGTCATAGGGAACTCCACGGTGGGCCAATGACGGCGACTTGGAGGCTCGAGCGCCCGACGTAGGCGTCGCGGCAGACGGCGGTGCCGCAGGTCGATGGCAAGGGCGCCAAAGACGTTGGCACAGCCCAAGAGAGGCTTCTACGGCTTTCGGGTGCTCCAGCGAGCACGGCTAGGGTACTAGGCGAAGCTCCAAGGGCTTCGGTGAGGTTGGCCACGGTGGCGGCGGGTTGCGGCGAGGTGGCTATGGCCACGATTGGAGCTAAAGGTGGCCCTTTTCCTTCGATTGGGACCACGGGGAGGCTAGACGACTCGCTGGCGGTGACCTAAAGGCTCGGCGGAGTCCACAGTGCGACGAGGTGCGCGGTAGAGCTCCGGCGAGCGCGCGGCTTCGATGGCAAGGGCAAGACGGGGGCTTTTTCTGCAACCGGCTAGTCGATGGGGTGCGCGAGGTCACGGCGAACATCATCGGCTCCTCCTCGCGATGTGAGGTGGTCGGGATCATCCATGAATCGGTGACGCTCTGACATGCGGCCTCGCCGATGAGGCGAGCACAGCTACGACATCTAGGCATTTTATGGCCAAAAGGGTGGGCGCTTTGGGAGCTACACGTCAAGACAAATCGATCCGTGGTGGTTCGGGAACCGCTACTGGCCTGGCGTCACCGAAACGTGTCTGTCATGGCGGTAGCATGGGCGCGCGGCGGTCTGGCGAGGCGAACACGACCAGCAGCCCTCGGTGCTCCTGCTCTCCTTCTATCTAGCGCTCAACGCGTCCCTCGATGAGGTGAAGCTTGCCGAGGCACTTCTCTTGACTCTACCGGTGCGAGGTGGCCATTACGGGGCGGCGACGCGGTGGATGTCGGCCATGGCGACTGCAGCGGTTGCGCTGTGTTGGCGCCGACGTTCCCGAGCGCCAGTGGCTAGGGAAGGCTGGGCCTTGGCTTGTGTGCGTGTGTGCAGATCATCACAACGGCGAGAAAGGCTGGCCTTTGGCCCTCCCAAGGGGGAGAACACGGCGGCACGGCATGGCGTTACCACGGTGGTGAGATACACAATGAGTAGAGAAAGCAGCGGCTCACCGTGGGGCTTAGGGTGGTAGGCTAGCGGGGCAGTGGTGAGTCGAGGCTATGGCGAGGCGGTGCAGTGCCGTGGCGAACCGTTATGACGAGAAAGACGATCGGGGCGCCGTCTTCTTCTCCAGCGGTGGCTCCTCGGTGAGCGGCGCGATCGTCCTCCTTCTCCTTCCCTCCTCCGTTCTCCTTCCCTTCTCTTGGTCTCGATGAGTGGTTGGAGAAGCCACCAGTGGCGGCAATGCGATGGAAGGGCGCTTAGGGCACCGGTGTGCCCTTTTATAGGGAGCTCGTGGCCATGGCGCTAGGTGGACGGCGAATGGAGGGGAAGGGGGTATGTGGAGGGCGATCAAGGGCTCCGGCTTTAGGTTTTAGAGAGCGGGGGTGAGTGTGGCTGCCTTGGCGCTCCCGTTTTTGAACGGCGCCGGTCAAGGTGGGTACGGTGGTGGCAGAGGAGCACGGGCCATGGCGCTCGCGTTAGCGGGCAGGCGGCCGCCAGCTGGGGCAGGTGGTGGCGCGGATCGCCGACGTGGCGGCCATCCAAGGCGTGCGTGAGGGGGTAGTGGACGAGAACGGCCGTGATGGCCTTTGCCGTTCTCAGCTTCACGCTAGTTTTGAGCGTGGCGAAAAGCAGAGAAGGGAGGGCAGGAAGGGGATGACAGGCGGGGTCCACCGGTCAGTGGCTCAGGCAAGGGGCAACGCAGGGCGCGGGTGTGGGCCATTCTTTGGTCAGTGTGGTCTGAAAGCACGAAATGAAGCGTAAGGTGAGTCAGGCAAGGTGGTGGCGGCGTGGCAATGGCGTGGAGCTTTGGTCATGTGGCATGGGCGACATAATGACAGGCTTTTCGTTTCTTGGGTGGGCCACTTTGCTCTCTCTATTTCCCTCCCCTTTTCCAATTCCTTTTTTATTTCTATTTCTATTTTCACACTACATCTAGGGCTCCTATGTGTGTACATGTGTTGTCAAGCATGTACACGCCCGTATGGTGTCCACTAGGGGTCAACTGGGTGTTAGGGTCCAAACCAAGGGTTGACAACACACACAAGAAGTTATTTAAAAGGTGTTCTTGATTTTATTTCGTCACATAAAATCACGAAGAAGCAACTCACAAGTTGTTTAATATGCAAATGCTCAAACATGCTAGCTTAGGATGTACTTGTGTAGCTACAGTGTGGTTTTCTAATATACACACTCACCCTGCATGAGTTTTGTCAGAAAATTTTTAAGTTCAGATTTTTAGATTGTTGAAAAACCTAGGTTGTTACAAGAGACCACGGTAAAACAAAAAAGTTCTGCGCCTCTGATGCCACCCCAAATTTACCAAGTACTGTCCCTAAAGCAGCTCGATCAACATTTACAGGCAAACAGAAAGCAGCTCGATCAACAATTACAGGCAACAGAGTTGGATACCACTAGTATAATACATTGTACGCCAACACTATCTAAAAGCCTAAATTTCTATATAATCTTTACACATTTACAGGATCGACAGTTAAAGGTCTACATATTTTGCAATCGACATATACATTGCTGAACCGCACCAATTCAGGTTGTGGGCAGAAATTGATAGCGCATAGCCCCCTTAAGTTGAGAGGAAGGAAGACATTGTTCTCCTGAAATCAAACGACTTTAGACCTGATTCTGGTATTGGGCTGCTTCCAGGCACCCACAAACCACCTCTGCGCGGCAGCACAATCTGTTTGTTTATACTCTTGTTATCGCCATCAGTCATCTCTGCTGTACGAAATTCCTTCTTTTTCTTCACAAATTCAAAGAACTCCGCAACTTGCCGAGCATATCTTCAAGGAAAATATAAAAAAATACTTGAGTGTAGGATTTTAAAAGCACATGGAGTGTTCAGATAAAGATGCATCAAGTTTTGATATGGAAAAAAAATCAAGCCAAAGAAAAGTTTGTCATCACAATAATAACTGCAAGAGAAATCACACGCCAACACGGATTCATTGCACGCATGACTTGGTCTTGAAAAACAGCTCAAATTAATAAATGGAGCAACTATATGTACAACAGCATTTCAAAGACTTCCAGATTGTTTATGAAGTGAGTCAGAATCAGTATATGTTCATTTATTCATGGTCAAGAAAAGAAACCACACAGGCACGCCTAGCCTTCAATCAATTAGTTGTTAGTAAAACTTTTGCAGTCAGGATGCCAACAAGCTAGAACTTGTAAGTTGCAAATTAGGCCACGTAAGATGGTCAAGGAACAGGAGCCACAAAATAAGCTACATTTATAACGTCACATAAAAACTTGTTGAATGTATTACAAAATTTTTCTCGTGGAAACATTAAAGCCAAACCTAACCCCAAAGATATCCAAAAAAACGATGAGCTTATAATTTACACATTGAACCCACTGTTAAACCACTGTGCTAGCAAATCACAGCTAGTCCACACTATTTGTATCAGATAGTTCAATTCAAAATACAATACTTTCAATTTTATACCATGTATTTACACAGAGTTCATTATTTTACAATTGCTTAGTAAACCACTAGCTACAAAAGGACAAAGTTTAAAAGTTGCCAATTCAAATGCCTTAGGGCAAGGTCAATGTCTATAGCCCGACTGCAGTTTAAGGTGGAGCCCAGATAAATAGGCAATAGTTATTGCATCTGACATAATGTATATGGTTCAAATGGGTCTTAAGCGGGTCCCATGCTATAACTAAAAATCCCACAATTCTCCAATCAACCCCATCTGCACCCCGTCGTCCCTTCCATCCCTTCTGTCTGTTGGCCAAGCTCGTTTCCCTCCATGGCTCGTTCCCAATCCTCTCTCCACAGCAGTGCAGTGTGCACACGGCTATTCTTAGCTGGAATCGGAGCCATTGGCTATCGAGTCAGAGCCATTGATCTTCACAGCCTCGCCCTAGTTCCTGCTCTGCTTATCATGCCTGTGCCCAGGCCTCGTGGAGCCAGATTGCCTGAAGGTCGGAAGCCAAGTTCGGAAGCATGAGGAGCTTGTGGTGATCACGCATCTGGTAGAGGAGGTCCTCCCCGATCTGCTGTTGGCAAACCTTTCCACAGCTCCTCTGTCCCATCTGACCAAATCGAGTTCTCGTCCAGAGCCCTCCCTTGAGCTTGCAGTGGCGCATGGGATCCGATCTGGTGAGCTCCTGGTGGTGGCGCCAAGCCGCCAGAACCAACTGCCCGTACTAGAGATAGGGCGAGAGTGAGAGAAGAAAGAAATTATTTTGTATTCCTTATGCTCGAGCTATAAGCTTTTTCCCCTTACGGTGCAGTTCTACAATGCTTATTGCCTAGGAACAGTGCTGCATTTATTGCTTTACCTTAGCTTTTGCAGGACACTGTGGATGCCATAGTCAACTTCCAGCTACAACAATTGATTAACACTAATGGAAAATGAATAGAATATTAGCACTTATGAAGTATAGAACTTACTGCCGTTTGGCTTCAATGTCCTTGTTAAAGTCAATGTCATGTTCGCAGTCCAGGATAAGAGCAGGAACCTGCCAAGAAAGAGCCTCAGTGCCTCACCCATGTGACCAAATAATTCCTTACTAGATCATTATAAAAACATGAAAAAGATTGGAGAATGTTACCTTCTGGATACTTGAATGCATGTGATCTCCTTCCAAGTAGAATACCCTATCTCGTATATCCGCAGGCAGGGAGCCTTCCATATGAACTGGAAGCTGACTGACGGACAACACGCCAGAACCTCCTCCCTTGGATGGAAGTAACCAGCTCTCATGTTTCTCATGCAAACCTCGAAGGTAATCTAGAGTAACACCACCCTCCTCTGATCTTTTTCGCACCATCATTCTTTTGTGGCAAGTATCAGGGCTAGCTCTCAGATAAATAAAACCATCAGGGATAAGACCTGGGAGTGATGATACAACTGGGTCAAACCAAGAGTCATAAATGCTGATCTCCATCTCATTCATCCAGTTTGCTTCATGCACAGCACGAACAAAAACCTGAAAATATCAACAGAAACCATTCTTTAAAAAAGGAACAGAAATTGACAAAACAAATAGACCAAAAGGTGAAATTCAAATTACATCAAAGCATTTAATCCATCATCAAGGTAGTTTTTACAACAAAGGTAAACCTACCATTCGATCACTGAAAACGCTTCTTTCCATCAGCCGAAGAGGTTTTATTCCACACGAAGATTCCTTCTCTTGCATGACCCTTGTCACAAATACATAATTCTGGAAGGTGTATGCATACCTCTGTGGCTCCGCATAGAAAGCATCAAGTATATTGAAGTGTTCAGGGCCCACATCCTGCCACTTAGCAATAGGTTCAGGTACAATTTCTACAAGGTCACGTAGTTCAATAGTTTCATTGGCTATTCTTTGAAGGAAGGTAGTTTTCCCAACACTGATATTCCCTTCTACACAAAAGGTCAGCCTCCTATTTTTAGGAAGCTTAGATGTATCGGTGCCTTTCAGCTCTTCATCAACACTCTCTTTAATGAACAAAGTTATACTCTCAGCATGGCTCTTGTGAATGATGCCAACTGAATTTTGCAAGAATTCAACCATCTTCTCATTAGACTTGCCAAAGAACTGCAAAATACTCACAAAATCTTAGCACTTAGCACGAATTACATTGACCTTATATTAAATGAACATCATTCAGGCATTCAGTAAATAGGATCCAGAATAGTCGCACAGCAGGTTTGGCAAAATAAACCAAGAGCAAAAGATAGACAACAAAGTGAACCACAAAAGTAATTTGTTCTTGCTGTTTCTCATACGAATTTCACCATTAGAATTAGTCAGATTTAGAAAGTTGCACCAATGAGAAAGTACAATTCTAACATATCAATCTGTAATGCTTTTGACAGAAAAAATAAGAACACAAGAAATTACAATATTCTAGTTTATCTCATATACTAAACATGGGAACAACTGGTTGGAAGAAAAAACAACAGCATTTAAACCATGACAATATAGTTAAAAAAACATGACAGATACTTGTCCGATAGTTCGCAGCCCATAACCCCTCAAATTCAAGTCCATCATCTCTGCAGCCCAGTTTGGTGGTCCACTTACACAACCCTCAAACCCTATAGTCACACATTCAACAAGACAACCATCCAGCGAGGAGAGACGGGCAGGCGGCCACCATCGCCCGCTCCTGCCGCCGCCGACGCCCGCAGGCCGCAGGTTGCCGCCTCAGGTCAGATCTGCATTCCAACTTCCAAACTCTAGATTTCTTTTATTGTTGTTGTTTAGGGATGGCAAGTGGTAGTGGAAGTTCTCCGTTGCATGTCTCTGAACCTAGTAGTGTCAATGTAGCAAGTGATGTGATAGTGTTCCTGAAGTGAATGAGATCTGTGATCCTAAATATCCTCTCTGGAGGCATGTTAATAAGATCGAGAGCAATGGCCCTGATGGAGGAAATGCAGTAATAGAGTGCAAATTTTTATTTGTTGATTGTTCTGCTAGAGTGAAAATTGTTTTGAGTTATATTCTGAATTTTTTTGGTATATTTATATACTTGCCGTATTGGCGTATCCTTGTTTTTGGAAAATGCCGTATCACTGTATCGCCGTATCGGTATCGGCGTATCAGTATCCCGTATCGGTGCAACATAGATGGGGACGGCCTCGCAAAATATAGTGTGAGCCACATAAAATCAGTTTATCCCGTGATTGCTCACGGTGTTGAAGGTTGGCCTTGAAGCTAAGAGTAAATTGAGAGATATAATCAGGGCGTGATGTAAACTCCTGCAAACCATATAAGAGTATAAGAACTCACGACCCCTTTGAGTCCTTTAAAAAAAAAGTGAGGGGCCGTTTGGATCCTTTCATTTGGAGGAATTGAAATTTACTTAATAAATTAGGCTATTTGGCTTGTAATTTGACATTCCACCACTTTCCAAAGTTCACATATAAGTCTATCTCAAATTCATAGGGTGGGAGATGGAAATTGATTCTATAAATTATCATCCTATGTTTCTACTACACGCTCTTCAACTCACTCCCCTACGGTAGAAATGCAACACATAAGTATCTCTCTCATATAGCCAACAATAATATACAAATATAATTCATATACAACCATATTATCTTAATTAATTTGTGTTTAAATTATGATTGTTAAAATGAATTCAATTCCAAGGATCCAAACAGGGCCCAATAGTAAATTAACATAATCCGTATTCCATGAAACAAAACACAGGAATAGCTCAACGCACACCTTATCCCTGTAGAGCTGCTTGAGCTGCGCCACGTCATCGAATCCCTTGTCCACGAGCTTCCTCTGGTTCCGCGGCCCGACTCCGGGAATGGCAAGCAGTTCCCCACTTCCCATCAGCGCATCACTCCGACCTCTCTGCTTCCTCTCCGGCGCACCGCGACCCCCGCCACCCTTCTCCCTTTCCTCCGTATCGCCCCCGCGCCTGGCCGCCTCGGCGGAGCAGAGTCCCCGCCTCCTCCCAGGGTCACAGCGCAGCCACGGCGGCGCGCGGATTTGGCCAGGGTTTGCGCCAGGGCACGTGGGTACGAACGGGCTACCAGCCAGGCGCAGCGTGGGCATGCGTGGGGAGGAGAGCAGCAGGGGGGCCGCGGCGTCGAGGAAGGAGGCGGCGCGTGGGAGGAGCTTGTGCATCGCTGGCTGCGGTGACGGCAGGCTCGAGGCTCATCAATGGCGCTTCGGCTCCGGTTGAGGCCGCTGGGCCGGCCCACGCGGGTGCGGCAGTGACGGCGAGTGGCGCGGGGTTAGGGTTTTGGGGATGTCATCCGTCCCGCCATGAGTCAGGTAATCAGGTTGTTGCTGCCTTGTCGGGGAGCAGGAGGGGGAGGGGGAAGAGGAATTGGCGCACGAGTGGTCTACGGGGCCAGCGTGAGTCGTGGTCCACGAGAAACCAAATCGATTAGACGAGACGGCCCGGTGCGTCGTTGTTTCGCCGCCCTGGCTCCGGCCCTGCACCCGGTGCATGGACTGGATCGACGATGACAGATGAGGTGGTGGTGGTGGTCCTGTTGGAGTGTTGGTATTGTGGGTCGCGTTGGTAATTTCGGCCCAGGCCTCTTTGCTTGCCCTGGGCTGTACGACTTGTCATATGGGCCACAGGTCTCCGAGGCTCTCTCCTGGGAAAGCTTGGCTTGTGATTGACGAAACATTTGCGGGGAAAAAAATTATAAGGAAACACATGTGTTTGTAAGACTCTTTGGAATTCACAAAACCAAAAGAGTCTTACAAAAAAATCACGAAACAAAAAAGGAGACAAAGAAAACCAACAGAATTACACAAAAGCTTCTAGCCAATTGACGACTGATAAGAGGCTCACATTTCTGTTTTGCTGTAAGGATAACCTGAGCAAACTCTTTCCTGAAGATCATTTTGCAGTGCTGAATAGAAGGCTGAACTTGAAGAATGGAGGCTTTATGTTCCTTTGCTGACATGGGAGGACTTGAAGAATTCTCGATAAGAACGTGAAGAATGGAGAACTCACGATAAGAACTGCACACATCTAACAGGACTGCGTGACTCAGCGTGTGTTTCAAGACTGTAAATCTATTGATTTTCCAGTGTATCAACTTCAGTCCGGTCAAATTGGATGATGCTTCCCAGTAGCAAAGATTGGATATAGAGGAGTGGCCGGGGCTGCTACGGAACCTTTCGTTCCCGACTTCTCCCAATCTGACCGCATGGACTAGGGTCGTGAAACTGGGAAAAAACGACTGCAGGATATACAAAAGCGCAGCAGAATTGACCCTGGATGGATCATACACGATAATCTCCAGCTGTTTCAGGCCCGGCTGAAACGGTCAGTCCGGTTAGGCGGGCTCTGACTATCATCGCAGGTCATTCAGCTGCATGCGCCTGCTGCAGTGCTGCAATCGCAGTCGCGCGCACGTAGGATCTGGAAAGTGGAAACCCACACGGCTCGACGGATGCAATAACAAACATTTTTAAGCATACCTGCGCACGTTATCTGATCTTGGGAGAGTCTTAACAAACCGTAACAACTCCGACGACGCGAATATGCGACGAAAGCTACGTCAGTGTTGCAGTTGAGCAAGTCAAAATGGCTGCAAAAAGGAGATGACAGATGAGCAGATTCCAGTCTAGTTTTGTTTTTTAAAATTGTTTATTTAGGATGGAAGTCAATCTGTGTTTTTTATTTACAGGAGTCAGGCAGGACTTGTTCTGCGTGCAGAGTTGAGTCATGTGTGGGGTCATTATTTACCAAGCATCAATGATGGAACAGAAACAGGAGAAACTTGGAAATATTTTAGTTAGATACCGCGTGGCTGATTTCGATATGAGAGTAATCTACTAGTACATGTTTTTGCAGCAGGAATCAAAGGTGCTGCCACGTGTGAATTTGTTATGCAGAAAGTTTTGGTCACCTGAGGCATCTATTGGTGAGATCAGTGCAAAGAATAGAAGAGTAGGGGAAGAGTATTGGCAACAGCCGAGGTGGTTATGGGCTTCCCATTCCCCGGATACCTACCGCTGGATTCTATATTCTCCTCTCATCATGGATATCGATTGCTTATGGTTGGATTGACAAATTAGGACATGTTGCCGATTAAAAACTCAACAAAGAAAGTTTCCTGAAACGAGAAGCCGTTCACCAAATTGTGCTGCACGTTCATTTTCTTTAATGCAAAAGGAACAGTTCCTTTCGTGGTATCTTAAAAATGTGGATATTTTCTTTGAAAAGCGATGCTACATTGCCTCTGAGAAAGTAGCTTACTTTATGATCTGTTTATTTAAGATGTGGAGTAGTAGCTTATAAAAGGATCCCTGTTATCTATTCGAGCCAACAGAAACAAACAAACGCGCAGACACCATCATTTTGCAAATAAATAAAGATGGGCAGAGAACTTTTAGGAGAGGAAGCTAATATATATCGGCAGTGCATTACTTGTGCAGAAAAGATTCTTGACGGACGCTAAACATTTATTTTTATATTCAGTAGGGACGGCATCAGAATTCAGAAGTACAAAAACATTATCTTCGACAAACTATTGACACGGTCCCGTACTATTCAGTTAAAAAATGCTTCCAACTTCTCCTGAACCTAAACAACAGCAACAAATCATCGATGGAGATATATTTTACTTAATCACTCGAATGATTGAACGTAGTGCCGCATGCAAGTTGTGAAGGCACAGTCAGGTAGGTTAGGCGAGGTGTACTGGCGGCGAAAATGGCGAGATATAAACAAAGATAGCATTGGCAAGAACCGCCACGGTTCGGTAGGCCTTAACATCCACCTGTCCTCACATGACATATGGATTGCCCTGTTCGGCAGGACTGAAAAATACTGTTTCGACTGATTGTTGTGAGAGAAAAATACTATTCTGACAGGACGTGAATAGTGATTTTGTGAGGTGGCTGGCCAGCCGGCAATCAGCCAGCCAGCCAGCCGAACACGGCCCATGATCACAAAAACTGTAGCGGCGTCGTCTCCATACGTACATTTCTAAAGGCACATGGTGCGGTTGAGACTTGCCATTCTATACGTGTATGCTTCTGCTGCTTTATAAACGTGACGTATGCTGTTCAGTAGTAGAGCACGAAAGTGTTGTTATTTGGTGTTCTAACACTGTAGCGTCATGCCTAGTAGGCAGGGTATCCGACCAACCGTGTCTAGGACTCTAGGTGCAGCATAGCTCAGTCATCACTGTACTGCAAGGTCAATGAAAATGGTAGTGATTTCTTTCTAGCTTCAGTAAATAAACAGTGGCGAAGTCAATAGACAATAGGGGAACAAGTCCAAGATTCTCCTACTTCCATCTATGAATTGATCAATTACTTGGAGCATGTATTGTATTGCACTGTCACTATATAGAGCTCACTATGGCCGTGCCTCATTCGCTAGCGTTTTCTATTACAGTAAGCAACCGCTGTTTCCTTCCAACTTGTAGAATTGAACGAGTAAACCTCTTGACTCACTGGACTCAACTCACTATATCGATGGTCCACCAGATTGTGAACTGACAGCACTGCTTCCTTAACATATGGCTAGAGAAAAACCTGACCAACGGGGACCAGAACCCACTGTCCAGTCTCCACGGTAAAATTGGACGAGTTCACTCGGTTGATTCTTGCAGACAAAACACCGAGACTCCAAACAAAAGACTCGGTTGGTAACTATAGGTATCGATCACTGGTGCAGTGACTCGATCAGTAGCACTTGGCCACTGACAGAAACACATGTATTCCTGGGATTTATTGCCCTTAAGGAAGCCAGTTTGCCCGAGTAGGCGATTTGCGGAAACACCGGTAAATAGCTGCTCATGCTCATGCTCACCTGGCTTCTATGTTATGATCTAAGATAACTGAATGGAATATGAGGGGGAATTGTAGCAAGAATTTGGGAAGAACAGGACGGAACACGACAGAGTCCGTGGGTTTGGGAAGTTTTGGGGGAAACCAGAGTTTTGTTCTTCGTTGACGAATCCGTAACACCGGCGCAGCTTATAAGTTTGCTGGCCGCCAACCGCCTAAGCGCTACACCCACGCCCAACCCATTACATGATGACGGCCCACGGCCCATGGGCTATAACACTCCTCCCTTCTTAAACAACAGCTTGTCCTCAAGCTGTAGCAATCCAATAACATCACTCTTTCATCGGTAGGAGATGGTCCGACATCATCACAGCGTCTTCCCAAGTGGCCATCTCAGCTGGTAAGCCACCCCACTGGATCAAATACTGGGGAACCACCGTATCACCGTGTCGCACTGACCGCTTCTCCAGAATGCCTTGTGGCCACAGAATCCGCGCAGGATCAGAACAGACAGTGGAGAGGTCTGAACTTACTGACACAGTAGCTAGAACATGTTGCCTGAGTTGCGACACATGAACAACTGGATGAATCTTGGCATCAGGTGGCAGATCAACCTTGTACGCCACTTGGCCCACACGCTGAGTTATCTTGAATTGTCCATAGAACCTGAATGACAGCTTTTGATTTGATCGTGAAGCCACCGTCGACTGAACATAGGGCTGTAATTTGAGAAAGACTGAATCGCCCACAGCAAATTCCATTTTAGTCTGGTGTTTGTCAGCCTGCGACTTCATACATTGCTGAGCCCTCTGCAACTGTTGTCTAATCAGCTGGGATAAAAACTCACGGTCAGTAAGCCACTGCTCCAAATCTGGTATGTTGCACAGTTGCAGATTGGATATGCCAAGTTGTCTTGGTGTGTAACCATATAACACTTTGAAAAGAGATTTGCCCAAGGCTGAATGAACCGAAGTATTATACTAGAATTCAGCGACTAAGATCCACTTACTCCACTGGCGAGGACATGAATGGATAGTACATCTGAGAAATGCTTCCACACATTGATTAAGACGTTCAGTCTCTCCGTCGGTCTGTGGATGGTAAGAGGAACTCATCATCAACTTGGTATCTGTCAGTTTGAACAACTGTTGCCAGATTGCACTGGTGAATACCCGATCTCTATCTGATATAATGATCTTGGGGAGACCATGAAGCTTATACACATGGTTCATGAAGACTTGAGCTATCTGCAATGCAGTAAAAGGGTGTTTGATGGGTATGAAGTGGCCATACTTTGTAAACTTGTCAATTACCACCAACAGTGCATTGTAGTTGTCAGATGTAGGCAATCCTTCAACAAA